ATTTGCAAATATTGACAGTTTTACTTCTTTCTTTCTGGTTTGGATCCCTTCTACTTCTTCTTGTCTGATTGCTGTGGCTAGGACTTCTAGTACTTTGTTGAATAAGAGTGGTAAAAGTGTACATCCCTGTCCTGTTCCTGATCTTAAAGGAAACACATTTAGTTTAAGCCTGTTGATTTATGATCATGCTGTGGGTTTGTCACATATGGCCTTTATTATGTTGAGGTATGTTCCCTTTAGTCCCACTTTGCTGAGACTTTTCATCATAGAAGGGTGCTGGATTTTGTCAAATGCTTTCTCTGTATTTATTGATATAAGCATATGTTTTTTATCCTTAATTTTGTTAATGCAGTATATCATGTTAATTGATTTGCAGGTATTGTACCAACCTTTCATCCCAGGAATAAATCCCACTTGATTATGGTGTATGATCTTTTTAATGTATTGCTGGACTTGGTTCACTCATATTTTGTTGAGGAATTTTGCATCTCTGTTCATCAGGGATATTAACCTATAATTTTCTTTCTTTGTAGTGTCTTTATCTGGTTTTGTAATAATGAAAATTTTTGCCTTATAAAATGAGCTTGGGAGTCTTCCCTCCTCTTGAATTTTTTGGAATAGTTTAAGGAGGATAGATAGGTGTTAGTTCTTTGAATGTTTAGTAAAATCCACCTGTGAAACAAATTGGTCAAGGATTTTTGTTTGCTGGGAGTTTTTTCAATTATTGCTTTAATTTCATTACTTGTAATTGGTCTGTTCAGATATTCTGTTTCTTCTTGATTCAGTTTTGGAAGACTGTATATTTCTGGGAATTGATTAATTTCTTCCAGATTGTCCAATTTGGGGTATATAGTTGTTTGTAATATGTTCTTATAATACTTTGTATTTCTTTGGTATTAGTTGTTAGTTCTCCTCTTTCGTTTCTGATTTTATTTATTTGGGTTCTCTCTCTATTTTTCTTGATGAGTCTTGTTAAAGGTTTGTCAATATTTTTTACCTTTTCAAAGAACCAGCCCTTGGTTCCATTGATCTTTTGTATTGTTTTTGTTATTTTTAGACTCTATTTTATTTTTGCTCTGATCTGTTGCTAGTTTTCAAATTACTTTAAGTGTTAGGGTTGGTTGTTTATTTGAGATTTTTCTTATTTCTTGAGATAGGCCTGTAGTGCTATAAATTTCCCTCTTTCGACTGCTTTTGCTGTGTCCCATAAATTTTGGGTTGTTGTACTTTCATTTTTATTTGTTTCAAGATATCTTTAGATTTCTTCCTTGATCTCATTGTTAATCCATTCATTGTTTAGTAACATGTAATTTAACCTCCATGTGTTTGTGTAATTTTCATTTTTTTTCTGGTAGCTGATTTCTAGTTTCATAAAGTTGTGGTCAGAGAAAATGCTTGATATTATTTCAGTATTCTTTAATTGACTGAGACTTGTTTTGTGTCCTAACGTAGTCTATTCTAGAGAATGTTCCATATGCACTTGAAAAGAATGTATATTCTGCTGCTTTGGGGTGAAATGCTCTGAAAATATCAATTAAATTTATCTTGTCTAGTGTGTCATTTAAGGCCACTGTATTCTTGTTAATTCTCTCTCTGGAATATCAATCTATTGATATCACTGGAGTGTTAAAATATCCTACTATGGCTGTATTGTTGTCGATCTCTCCCTTTGTCCAACAGTGTCTGTCACAGATTCTAACAAGAGCTTGCCAAGAAAAAGTGCACCACAAGTCCAGTCTGGGTATAGCCAGCAGACTTTTCTGCAGGATGTGAGCTTTGCAGGGCAGGGCCACCAGGAATCAGGAGGACAGGGCTAGTGGGTCTCCTGTTGGTGTACAGCACCGGTGGCATGCAAGAGGGAAAAATGGCCCCTGCTTTAAAGCCACACAACTCAGTGTGTCTAAGTCTCTGACAACTACCGGGTTCACTGTAGCAGACTTCTCTGCAGGCTGAGAGCTTGGCAGGTTGGAGGACTGGGTTAGTGTGTTCCCCAGGCTGGTGCTGTAAGGGTAGGAGTGCTTGACCCAGGGAGGTTGGTGTCTGTGGGCGGTGGTGTGGGGTAGGGACTCCACATGGAGACCTTGGGGACTGACCCTCCAGATCTCTCCCCTCTGGGCCATGCAATCCAGTTCCTCTCTATATGACTCCAGTTTGCTCTGAGTCACCTTCCCTGGGCGAGTGGCTGAGAAAAAACTTTTTGCTTTGGCCTTTTAAGAGGGTGCCAGGATCTGTAGTCAATTCCTGTCTCTCCCAGAGAATCCTCACTGATTTTCACAGTCATATGTTATTTGGGCTCCTCTTCCTGGCTCTGGTGGTCTGGGCTGGGAATCCTGGCGTGGGTCTGACACCCTTGCTCCTTAGGGAAACCTTTGCAGCTGAATTATCCCTCTGGATTCTCAACCACCATATGTGGGTGTGGGGTTAGCCCTTTCTGTGTCTCTGCCCTTCTTACCAGACTCATTGTGGCATTTTTTTGTAAATTCTTGGTTATAAGACTTCTGTTCAGCTGGTTTTCAGTTGGTTATTCAGGTTGACTGATCTATAATTTAGTTGTAAATCTGGTTTGACACTGGGAGGAGGTGAGCGTAGCTTCCACATACTCTGCTGCATCTTGGATGCCCCCAGTATGTTTTTTTAAGTCCAAGAAAACATCAAAATTTACAATATAAAAATTACCATAGTAATATATGAACTATCTGTATATTGACCATATTACTATTTAATTTATCAAATAATATTTTACAAAATTTGGCAAGTATATGTATTTTATTTTATTTTATTTTATTTTTTTTATCCTCACCCGAGGACATTTTTCCATTTTTTGTTCAGGTAGAGTGGGAGGGAGAGAGAGGAACAGAGAGAGAGAGAGAGAAACATCGATGTGAAGGGACACATCGAGTGGCTGCCACCCACACAACCGACCAGGGCCGGGGACAAACTGCAACCAAGGTACGTGCCCTTAGCGGGAACCGAACCCAGGTCTCTCAGGACCGCAGGCCGACGCTCTAACCGCTGAGCCAAACCGGCCAGGGCAAGTATATGTATTTTAAAACATTTCTAGTACCGACCTACTAATTAGGAATACTAAATGATCAACTTTACCTTTTTTATCCTTCTCATCATAGGTGATCTTTTTATTTCACCTAGCATTATGTTTTGTTTTTCCTCAAATTGGATTTTTATTTGTCACTGTTAACTGTCTGGATTTTAAACAGATTATTGGACTGGGGCTCATATCCATCAGCTCATTTAACTGTAGCACCTGTTCCACCCCCAGTAGCTTTTCCAGGACTGTTACCTCCACCATGGAGCTCCATGAGTTCTCCCGGTTCAAACCTGGTTTCTTCAGCATTTGGCTTTCTAACACAGACACGTAGGAGGAGGTAAATAGACGGGCAAGCCTTTGCTCTGTCTTTCCCAGTGCTGTCTGGAATTAATTTATTGACCACTTCTTTCAAGTCATTTGTACCTCTCAGGTCATGATTTCCATCATCTTCCTCTGGATTTGGCAGACCTGTTGATGCTGAGCATAAGAGGTCTTCTGAATTTGTTGCATGTTTTAATAAAACTAGTATAGAACAGACAAAGCAGATAACCATTGGTAGTCTTGACATCAACATGAATTTCAGTCATGGTCTGCCATTTTTTTTTTTACCATGAAGCACCAAACTTGTATCATGGGTATGTGTGTATGTATCAGTATGTATCATGGGTAAGATCCATGCCATGGATCTGGTCCCTGGAGCCAGACAGATTGGTGAACCTTCACTCAGCAAGTTACTAAGTATATGATTTTGACAAGTTACTTGTATTTTCTCTGCTCTGGTTTTCTGATTTTTAATAAAAGGGGTACATTCAGTACTCTGGCACCTAGTAAAAGCTAAATGGATGTAAACAATAACAGTGGTAATAATAACAATGGAAATAGATTGTAAACAACATACTAGCAGTTGTATATGTTTAATAATGTGCAATACAGAACAGGTTGGCTGCAACTTTTTAATATGGGATCAGAATGTCCACCCATGTGGAAGTCTAGTTCCTTTAAAAAATAATAACTGCATCTGTTGTGCATCATAATAAATTTTTTCAAGGCCAAATATCAGTTCAGTGTCAAAATAATTAAATTATATTCACAATGTATATTTGAGTGCCAGCATATACAAAGCAATACAGGTAGTATACAAATATATGCAATATAGTTCCTGTACTCAGTATTATCAATTTCACAGGAAGGGTTAGGAATCGCAGTCTGCTTTTCCAGGCCCCCAGGTGGATGGAAGTTTTGATATCGGAAGAAACAGTTTCACACTGGATTAGTAATAGAGCCAGAGTGAACCAGAAGGCCAGTTTAAACATCTGGGGGATATAAACTGAACTGTGGACCCTATCTTGGTGATTGTTAGTTGTTTTCATACTCTGGATCTCTGAGTTTGCAGTCTACATTTATTTATTCTCCTTGCTGGTATACAAGTATCTACAGTTTAATAATTGTTAAAAAATTAGTATGTGGTATACAAATAAAAATGTTTAACATTTTTTCTATAAGAGGCATAAATAAAATATGAACATTGTTAGTGTGGATGTGGGAGAGGTCATGTCCTATGGAAAAGATTCCTGGAAGAACATTTGAGGTGGGATTTCAGAGGATGCATGTGATTTCAGGTAAAGTTTGGGAGCTTTGGTGGTATGTTGGTGTATGTATCAGCGTACACAGACAAATTCAGAGTAAGGACTGTGCGTGGTGTACTCATGAGGCAGTGAACAGCCCTTTGAGCAGGAATATGGGAATGTGCAGGGGTCCTATTGGAGATGTGTTTGGAGAGGTAGGTTGGGGCCATGTCTGGTGGGCCTTGAATGCCTTTCATTTAAATAAGTAATGGAGATTCATGGAAGATTGCTCACATGGGAGAGGGTGGTAGTGATGATGGGCTAATACAGCTGGATTGTCCACTCACTGCATTTGTGTACTAACTGAATTCATGTTTTGTCTCTTTCAGGAAGTTCACGATTTATTACAAGATTTTGAGTTAAAGTATTGTTATGTGGACAGAAATAAGAGAACAGGTAAGGTTTTAGTTCTAAGCATCTAATTTCATTTTGCTTGCACATATGGTCGTTATAAAATAAGAAAAGCCTAGTGTCTTAATTCTGAAACTAATAACTGAAATTCTCTAAGCATTAAATCATATAGATGTTACTCATAAAATTTATTTTCTGAAGATAAAATTAGTATCCTAAATTTTAATCACATAAATTAATACGGCATTACTAGAGCCTTATCAATTTTTATGCCAACAGTTCTAGTGTTATAGGTTCTTAAGTTATAATGGATATTATTTATAGGCTTTGTATTCTTCAATTTTAATAATTTATTACTAGACTTGGTGAATAAACTGTATGATTTTACCTTAGCTAGGAAGATTGGGAAAATTGCTTGATTTTTCTGGGTATTGGTTTTATATCTGTGATATTAAAAAACTAAACTAGACTATTTCCTTTATTTACATATGATATGTAAATGTCTAAAAACATCTTTTTGTGTTGATAAACAGTAAGGGAAAGTATGGAAGATGACATATGTACACATCCATTCCCAAATTAGCAAATGTTTTATAAAAATATTTTTTAAATGTTTAAAGATATTTTTTGCCTTTATGTATATATATGTACATGCTAGAACCCTAATGTAGATACATTGAATAAAAATCTCTAGTAGTAAGGTCAGGAATTATGCATTTTTTCCCCCAACTTAAAAAAATCGAAAATAGGAATGTTATAGATAAAATGAAACCCTGTTTCGACTTGTCTCTGTTTCCATCCCTTCCCTCTCTTCTTACATGGGGGCAAGCACTTGTGAGTTCGGTACATACTTTCTACACTTGGCCATTTTACTGTGGCAGTCATTAGAGCTGTTTGCAGAGTCTTGTTCTTTTCTCCTGGGCATGAGGTAAGAGAGTTCTCTGTCCCTCTTTGAAGTTAGAAGTGGACATGTGATTTGCTTTCTGATGAATGAAGTGCGAATGGAAGTGACACACATCCCTTCTAGGCTGCAGGGTTCAGAGCCAGCGCTCTCCGCTGGAGTAATGGGGAAAGACTGCAGCACCTCTTTCAGCTCAGCTCCCAGAGTGCCTGTGATGAGCTAAGGCCCTCCTTTCTTCCTTCCAGCATGGGCTATGCAGCATGAACACCACAGCGACGACAAACGCTTTCCTTTAGTTAAGCCGCCGAAGTTGTGGAACTGTCTGTTACCAGAGCACCTTGACTAATGCCTGTAATTTTATTGTATGTATGATGTATAGTGTTGTTCTTGGTGTTTTTAAAATGGTATTCTGTATGTTTGATTTAGTAACTTTTTTTCAACTCAACTTTATTTTCAGATCTCTCCTTGTTGATACATATAGCTCTAGTTCATTGATTTAAAGTACTACATGTTATTCTGTCCTGTGAATGTATCACTACTGATAAATCTGTTCATTACTGGTAGGCATTGAGGAAGCTTTAACCTTTCCAAGTATTTCAAATAACGCTGCAGTGAATATCCTTTTCTTTGTCTTCTAATATACATCGCAACTATTTCTCTACACATAAATTACTGGGTCATATGTACAAGTTCAGTGTTATTAAATATTGACAGAAGGATTAGAGGTGACAGTCTTCACAGCTCACACAGGGCCAGGTATAGTGCTGTTCCCATCAGCTAGGGTGATCAACCTCATAATTCATGATGCATCAGGAGGAGTATTCAGACTGGTCTCATCTCAAGAGTCAAGAAAGTTAACTCTGGTCTTACTTAACAAAATGTAAAAGTGGGACCAGAAAGGATCATGCTGTTTCTGGTAACTTAACTACTTCCTAGAACAAAACTTTAGAATATTTATATAAATACAAAAACATTCAGCATTCAACAAGGTAATATTTGCAGTGTCTGGCATGAAATAAAAAATTACCAGACATGGCAAAGGAGCAGGAAAATTCTGCCCATGATAAGGAGAAACACCAATCAAAACTACTTGGAATTTAAACAAAATAATTAATGAAAGTGGACTTTAAAACAGTTTTTATAACAATGTTCCATCTGTACAAGAAATTATAAGATTGACTATATAGCCCTGGCTGGTTTGGCTCAGCAGTTAGAACTTCGGCCCACAGACCAGAGTGTCCCGGGTTTGGTTCCTGCTAAGGGCATGTACCTCGGTTGCAGTTTGTCCCCGGCCCTGGTTGGGGTCATGTGGGTGGCAACCAGTCGATGTGTCTCTCTCACATCGATGTTTTTCTCTCTCTTCCCCCCTCTCTCCCTCCCACTTTATCTGAAGACGAATGCAAAAACAAGTCCTCAGCTGAGGATTAAAAACAAAACAAAACATGGAGATACGGAAGAAATTAAAAAATTTCTAGAGGTGAGAACTACAATGTCTGAGATTTAAAAAAATATAGTAGATGGGATTAATAGCAGAGTACACACTGAAGAATAAAAGACTACTGAATGTGAATACATAGAGGTAGAAACTATCTAAAATGAAACAGAGAGAGAGAGACTATAAAACATGAACAGAGTACCAGCGAGCTGTTGGACAGCTTCCAGGGCCCTACTGTTATAGTCATTGGAGTCTCTGAAACAGGATGGGGGCAGTGCATCATATTTTAAATTTGAGTTACTGGTCATGATGTTAGTGGGAGTGTCAGCATTAAAAAACATAATGAGATAAAAACTATTTGAGCACTTTGCATATGATAAGAGTATTCCTTCCCGATACTTTTGTTTCAGAAATAGATATGCATGTATGTACTGAGTCAGACATAAAATGGATTTCTGACTGTGTCATAGGCAAAAAAAGTTTGAAAACACAGGTTTAGAAACTCTTATTTATTTTTCTTCCAGCATTTGTTACCTTGTTGAATGGGGAACAAGCCCAGAATGCAATTCAGATGTTTCATCAATATTCTTTTCGAGGAAAAGACCTAATAGTCCAGCTGCAGCCAACAGATGCTTTGCTGTGCATTACCAACTTGCCACCTTCTTTTACATTAGAAGAGTTTGAAGAACTTGTTCGTGCTTATGGAAATATCGAGAGATGTTTTCTGGTCTACAGTGAAGTTACTGGCCATTCCAAAGGCTATGGATTTGTGGAATACATGAAAAAGGACTTTGCTGCAAAGGCTAGATTGGAGCTGTTGGGCAAACAGTTGGGAGCATCAGCTCTCTTTGCACAGTGGATGGATGTTAATCTATTGGCCGCAGAGCTCATTCATTCTAAGTGCCTTTGTGTAGATAAACTCCCTGCAGACTATAGGGATTCAGAGGAGCTGTTGCAATTTTTCTCCAGTATCCATAAACCTGTGTTTTGCCAGGTATGTATTCTTAAGATAGCATTGGAAATATTTTAAAATCTCTGCTTTGTATCTATTCTACATGCACGCCCAAATTTATTATATCTGTGAATATCACAATGGATAATTTAATACTACTTTAGTCTATAATGAAGATTTAAATGTCATGGTAAATTTTAAATCAACTCCTTTTGTTGATAGGCCAGACTATATTGTTATATAGTTAAGTATGTCTTAGCAACTCCATCATTTATTTGCCTCATTTCATCCATTCATTACATGATTCATCCATTGATCCATTCCTCCATCCAAATTTTATTTATCACCTTCTCTATACCAGACACTATATTGCCAAATGTCAGAAATATAGATAATAGAAAGATACTCTCTTAATTCCTCACAATTTTGTAGAAGAAACTGACAAATAATCTAATAATTGTAAATCCTGTATGAAAACTGATATAATGGAAGATTAAAAAAAAGTATAATGAGGTTTAAAGAGAACATGAATTTTGTCTCAATAGGGTCATGGTAAGTGAGCCATACATAAAAGATTCTGAAAACTGACAACACTGGTAAAAATTTTCATGCTCTTTATTATAGTAAAATTAAATATATTAGACTAAGTAGACAAAAATGTATGCTTTATACAACTTCTTTCCCTGCAGATGTAAGATAGCAACTGATAAACTTTCTCTCTTCCTTCTTTTCTTCCTGTTCCTCTTTTTCTTTAATCATATATTTGTTGAGTCTCTACAATTGCAGTAGGAAGTTCAGCTATGTAATCATATATATACATAAATACGCATATACCAATACACATATGCATACATATATATGATCAATGATACCATCTTTCTTTTCTTCAATTTCCACCCCTCTCCTCCCAGGATAATAGGCATCAAAGAAACCTCCCAAGAGCCTTATAATATTTTGTGACAAAATTTTTCTCTGATCAGTTATTGAAAGTTGATCGTCTTAATCGATTTGCTATTCTTGATATTAAGAATTATATAGTAATATCCTGTGGCCATGCATAATTCTTTGTAGCTTAAGTTGAGGTGTTTAATACAAATGAGAGGGGCAAGCCATTTATCACAAATTGTATTTGAATTATGAATTCCAGAGTCAAAGGGACCTGAGAGGTTATCCAGTCTAGCTGGTCATCTTGTAGAAAAACATTTGTTATAATATTTGTGCATGACCATTTAGCTTCTGTTAAATGTTTCAAAATAATGAAAAGTTAACCCGATCACAAGTCAGACCATTTATATATTTGAATGGCCCTCGTATTGAACGGAAATAGTCCTCTCTAAAACTACTTATGCCGGGGACTTAGATTTTTTTTTTTTATCTCTGTAAAGACTTATAATGGCATTATAATTTATATAGGCATGAAGGTTGTCATGATAAACCAGGAATAATCAAAAATGTTTTTAAAGTTTTCAAAAGATTAATAGAAACAACTTTATGATGCTTTTATCAGTGGATCTGTTAAATTCAGTCTCTTTTTCTTGGTAGGTTGACACAGACTATATTGAAGACAGAGTCTCTTACCTTGTAATCAAAAGAGACCAAAGAGACTAATGGCTTCTTACAAATCTGATTCTAAGGTCTGGTTTAGATTACAAGAGGAATGGGGTTGTAGGAGAAATGTTTGGAAGGGGTAGATATTTTCCCTTTCTCCCATATCACTGGGAACAAGTTTTATGGAGGAAAAAACACAGGAGGACAGTTTTAAATGGAATGAAGAATATGGAAGAAAAATCAAAATTTTTTTTTACTATACAGGAAAGTAGAAGTTAAGCTTCAAAAATAAGAGAAAAGAAACTAGAAATTATTTACTTGTAATATTAACTTATGAGGTGCAAAATCCAAATAGAAGTGTTGTTCATGTGTCGTCTCAACACGTACGCAGCTGAATTTTACCTCATTTATCACTTCCTAGTGTGAATGTGCTTAAGATAATTCACCAAGTTCAAAACTTCAGAACGTTTTAGCGTCTTACATTGCTCTTACTTTTGCTCTTTGTACCAGTCTTTACAGATCCAGGACTTTAGTATCTTCCTTTACACTCCTACAGGTGGGTGACTGGAAATAAATTGAGTTCTGCATTTTAGGAGTTTATTTAGGGCACATTCAGAAATAAAGATTGTATGTTGCATATGGTATTTTAATACACCTGGGGCATAGTTTTTGCAAATAAGGTTTGCTTTGGTATACTTGAACAAATTTCTGCCATCTGCCTAAAGTATTGAAATAAAAGTTGAATGTGGTTCCCCCTACCTTTCTTGTCTTGATAGTACAAACTTTATTTTATATAGATATGTGGTCAAATAATTGTTTCATAGTTTATGTATCTGGTGAAGTTATTTTAAAGAAAGTTTTTATTAGGGTCTCCTCATATTTTCCTATAAATTATCATATATAGCCCTAGCTGGTTTGGCTCAGCAGTTAGAGCATTGGCCTGAGGTCCAGAGAGACCTGGGTTCGGTTCCCGCTAAGGGCACGTACCGTGGTTGCAGTTTGTCCGTGGCCCTGGTTGGTTGTGTGGGTGGCAGCCACTCGATGTGTCCCTTTCATGTCAATGTTTCTCTCTCTCTCTCTTCCTCTCTCTCCCTCCCACTCTATCTGAACAGAAAAATGGAAAAATGTCCTCTGGTGAGGATAAAAAAAAAATTATCATATATATTTTTCTTAATATATAGGGAATAATATCACTCAGGCTTTGACTTCTAAAATAAATTAGAAAACCAAAGAATTCGAAAGAAATGACAGAATCTTGTTTATCATCCTGTCTTCCAGAAGGACTGCATCTAAGCAACTAGTACATTTATTTTTTTTATCCTCACCTGAGGACATTTTTCTAATTTTTGTTCAGATAGAGTGGGAGGGAGAGAGAGGAAGAGAGAGAGAGAAACATCAACATGAAAGGGACACACTGAGTGGCTGCCTCCTGCATGACCCAACCCGGGCCAGCGACAAACTGCAACCGAGGTACGTGCCCTTAGCGGGAACCCTGGTCTCTCCAGACCTCAGGCCAATGCTCTAACCACTGAACCAAACTGGCCAGGGCTATACCTTTTTTTTAAAAAAAAAAAAAAAAGCTATTTTCACCAGTATCATGCTCTGATACATTTGTTCTTGACTTTGAAAATTATATACTGTAAATAACTATTTCTGATGAAATAATAGTATTCCCTTTTAATGAAATGTATTACATCAGCTTGCACAGGATGAAGGTAGTTACGTTGGCGGCTTTGCAGTGGTTGAGTATAGCACTGCAGAGCATGCTGAGGAGGTTCAGCAGGCTGCTGATGGTATGACCATCAAGGGAAGCAAAGTCCAAGTTTCCTTCTGCGCCCCAGGAGCTCCGGGGCGAAGTACGTTAGCAGCGTTGATAGCAGCTCAACGTGTGGTAAGTTTGTTGTTCTTTCTTAGCATGTAAAAAAGTCTAACACTTTTTTCAGTCCATCCAAAGGAATTACCATTGATTGGACCTTTATTATCTTTCTGCTCCATAAAGACATTCTTTTTACAAAATTAGTGAATGGGGTCTGTCAAACTAAACCAAGAGTCATTACAAAAGAAGAAGTTGTCTTTCATTGAGTGTATGCATCTTAGGAAATTTTTTTGAAGGAATTTATTCATTCAACAAATATTTGAGTCCCAGCTCTGCTCTAGATTTTGAGTGTAACGTGCCTGCCTCTCTTTCTCGAAGTGCTCAGAAATGTCCACAGCACAAGTGGTGGAAGGTGTGTGCTCCTTTTTTTGCTCACCTGGCACATTGTAGCTGCTTCTCTGTTGTAAATGTCTCCTTATTCCTCTCTCTACTCTCCAGTCTGGAAGTTCCATGCAGATAGATCCTTCCTTCTTCCCAGTTTTTACTCCTAGCACTTAGCGTAGGAAATATTTGTTGATTGAATGAAGGAAGGAATACACCTTTGAAGGGGTCAGGGACAACTTTGTGACCATGCTGAAGGTAATATTTGAGTGTGACACCAAAGTATGAGTGTGAAATGTGTTGATGGAGATGGAGGACAGGGTTGCCAGATAAATATAGCTTTGCTGTGAGATACTTCTATTTAAAAATTTGTCCATTGTTGATCTGAAACCCAGATTTAACTGGGCATCCTGTATTATTACTTGCGAAATCTGGCAACCCTAAGGAGGGAGAGAGAATGGTCAAATTCTAGGTGGAACAAAACCTTGCAAACAGTACTGTGAGTTGAGTGTGCCCGCCGGAAGTGTGGTAGGTGGTCTAGATGGACTGAGTATATAAAGGGATGTGTGGTGAAATGGTGAGTTGACTGTTGGGCTCTCAAAGAATTTAGAGAGAATCTGATGCGCAGTGGGGAATTTATAAAGCATACGAACAGGTGGTAACAGGATCAGAGTGAAGCCTTCGGCAGATTAGTCTGGAAGAGGTTTGTAGATGAGCTGGGAGAGGAGGGAGGGAAGAACAGATGGGAGATTGTTAGTCTCACATCTTTCCCTCCTCTTATCCTTTGACCTCACATCTGGTCCCGGATCCCTTCTCCCGCTTTTTCGTGCTGCCGCTCTTAGGTTCTTTTGTCATTGTCATATTCCTCCTTGCATAATTCATCACCCCAGCCATTCTTTCACTAGCAGTTTCATTGCCTTTGGTTAAACTGTCTCGTTGTTGAATTGGATTTGCTGAGTTTAGAATTCTGAATCCATCCCGATACCTACTTCGGCAGCAAGCGTCCTCTTGGAGAAAAACGATGAGGTGCTTTGATGTCACTACAAATGTAGGACATACATTTATAGCTGGTCCCACAGAAAAACTTAAGCTCATCCCTCATCAGCTGCTCCTTTCCATTGTTTACAGCAACTCTCTCAAACCTTCTTTCTTTAGAGGATCGTGGCTCCTACTCTGTAGAAATCTCAAGTCCATGTGCTGGACTCATTCATTCAACTTTCCTCATACTCCCCCAGCAGACATACCCTGATGTGTGTTTTCTTCTTCTTCAGGAGCATTGATTCCACAGCACTACATGCTAGGCATTATGGGATATGTTTGGGATCCTCAGTGAACAGAGCAAGACCCCTGCTCTCTCGAAGGAAGGGCTGTGCTTCCTCCTGAAAAGCTGGGGCTCACGACCATGTCCCCCATCCTCCAGGGTCTTGATCCTCATCTTTCTACTTATTTTCACTTGTTGCTCCACTAGCTCTATCCCATCTGCTTATAAACATCCTCACATCTTTTCCTTTAAGTTTGTGCTCTAGACACTGGCCTTTATATTCTTTTCCTTCACAACAGGAGCTTCTGGAACAGTCACCATTTCTTGTCTCGCCCTTCCTCTCAGCCGAAGGCGGTGCCGCTTCTGCCTCTACTGTCCGCGTGAATCTGTTCTCATGAAGGTGAACAGCGGTTTCTTAATGTTCAGGTCGCACAGGTGCTTTCCAGTCATCGTTCCTTGGCCTCTCTGCAGAACTTAGAACCCTCTGCTGCCTTGAATTCTGCTGCACCGTTTTCCTGGCTGTTCCTCCCCCTCCTCTGTCTTTTTCTCCAAGGGCCAGTGTCAGGAGACGTCTGTATTTGACCTTCTCACTTTTTTTCCTATTAAATACTCCAATAGCTTTAGTTATTGCCTACCAATGATTACTTTCAAGTAAAATATTTTTGGACCAAACTAGGCTTAGAACTAAATCTGCATTTCCAGACGATTATTAGACATCCCGCCTTTATGTTACATAAATAGTTCCATTTCAACACCCCTCCCCCCAACACCACCCATTTTTCCCTGGGAGTTGTTTTCCTATGTTTTGTAATAACTATATATGGCATCAGTTCATCCAGACTGAAGCTATCTGAACTGAAAACTTCGTTAATCATTATTGGTCTCTCTCACCCACTCTCCAAAGATGAATGTCAAAAATATTACCAGATCCTTTCAGTCTCAACTCCTGATGTCTCTCAAATCCTTGAGACTTGTTAGCATCTTTGTTACTTTACTCAGGATCTCGTCATTTCTCACCTCAGTGATTAGGGTGGGCCCTGCACGAGCACCATGTTATTTGTCTGTCCCTTTGATCCATCTTCCACAGTGGCCCAAGAGTGATCTTTCTCGTCCTCAAATCGGATTATGTCCTTCTCTTGCTTAATATTCTTTAATGCCTGCTTAAATTCAGATTCCTGAGCTCTGGCTAGGTATCTCAGTTAATTAGAGCATCATTCTAATATGCCAAGGTTGCTGATTTGATCCCTGGTCAGGGCACATACAAGAATCAACCAATGAGTGCATAAGTAAGTGGAGCAACAAATCGATGTGTCTCTCCCTCTCCCTTCCGTTCTTCTTGCTCTCCCTCCTTCTCTCTTTCTCTGTCTCTCTCTCTCTCTAAAAATAAATAAAAAAATTTTAAAAATTTAAAACGAATTCCTTAGCATGACATCCAGGACTCTTCATAACCAGATATCAGTGATAGTGAAAAATCTTAAATTTTTTCTCAGTCTCAAAAATAAAGTATTACATTGATATTTTCTACAGGTTCTTGGTATATATTATTTTTTAAGTTTTCTGATATTAAAAAAAAAAATCGTGAATAGGCACTGAACTTGAACAGAGTAGTTCTTTAACTATTAAGATAATCATGTGATTTCTCCCTGAATTTATTAATGTGCTGAATCACATTGGTAGATTTTCTAATGTTAAACCATCCTTGTGTTATAAACCTTATAATTGATAATTATTTTTTCCAATGCGTTGATTAGATAACATTTTATTTGGTATATGTGCAAATATACTCATAAGTGAAAAATGCTCCAAATTTTTTTTTACCAGCCTTACTTTATGTTGCAGTCAGTGGAACACTGATCTCATTTACCGACTTAAATATTTTTTTATCCTCCCTGTTTTCTCTCTATTTATGGATAAACTTGTATAAAATACAGCTGTTTATTCTTTGAAAGTTTAGGACATCTCATCTATGAGACCATGTAGACCTAGTCTTTCAGCCTCTTCCAGAGAGAAATTATTGATTGCCACATAAGTGGGTATTTAGATATTTTAGGTGTTTTTTCTTTCTGTGCCATATTTGGCATTTGATTCTATTCTACAAATTTATCCATTTTGTCTAAGTTTTCAAACTTATTGGTACATAATTATTTATAATATTTAGTTATTTTTAAAATTTGTCATGTTTGTTCTTGTTTTCACTGTGTATTTTATTTACTTGCATTTTCTTCCTTCTCCTTTATAAGTCTTCTTCTACTTCTCTGTTTCGTCTTTTCAAAGAACCAGCTCTTGTTTGGATCATTATTTCTATCTTTTGCATATTTCTGCCCTTATCTTTATAATGTTTTTGTTTCTTTTTTGGGTTTACTCTTTCCCCTCCATTTTTATTGACATCAATGCTTAGTGCCTTTGTTATCAGTCTAGATGTTTTCTGATGAATGAGTTTAAAGCAAGTTTTCTTTTAACTAATGTTCTACCTATATATCATAAACTTTAGATTATTAATGTCTCAAATTTTTATGATTTTCTTTTAAACTAAAAGCTTAAGTAGTTATTTGCTTTTTCAGTTTGTAGCCACTTAAGAATTTTTAAAAGCTGTTCTTCTGATACAAACTTCTAACTGGATTGCATTGTGATCAGAGAATGTAGTTTCTAATGTTAATTTGGGGGAGGGGATCGCATAGCTTCTTTTGTGGCTCGGGGTATGATTGATTTCTATGAATGTGCCATGCATGACCCCGAGAAATCCCTACTTTATGTCCGTGGGTTATAAAGTGATAGGTACATATATGTGTGTGTGTATAAATATTAGTTTGAGCTTATTGTTACAGATCTTCCATATCTTATTTTCATCTGCTTGATCTGTCAGTATCTGTGAAGATTGTATTAGAAGTTATCGTGTATAGTTGTTGATTTTTCTTCCTGCTTATTCTGTTAGTCATTGTTCCATTCATTTGTTTTGTTTTTATGGTCCTGGCTTTTCTATGCAAGATTGAAATGAATGATGATATTGCATATCTTAATTTCCACGCATCATGCAGTATCACCTTGCATTTATTGCTTCTCGGTTCCCATTTTCAGAGAGGGTATTTTTGTAGTAAAACTTTTGAGAATGTGTATCGCTGCGAATATTTTTATTTCTTTCATATATTCACATATTTAAATAATAGCTGAACTGGATATAAAAATCTAGATTTCAATTTTTTTCCTGCAGCACTTTGAAAATATTATTCTGTTGCTTTCCTGAATCCAGTGCTGTCACTTCGAGAGAGAATATGTTATTAATCTGCTTCTTGTTCCTTGGAGATATGTTTTTTTCTCACTGAAAGCTTTTAGCATTTTTGTTTTGGCTTTGATGTTCTTGAATTTCACACCAAAAAAAAATGTGAGTAGATGTGTTTTCTCCTTATATGTTATATTTGGAACACTGTGAACCCTTTCATTCTGTGATCTTTAATTTTTTTTTAATGGAAATTTTCAGCCACTCTGTCTTCAAAGATTTCCTTCTTTGTTTTCTCCTTCAGATATTCCTTTTTCATATAGGTCGGCACTTCGAGCCTTTTCATTGCCTTTTTCCTTTTCTTTTCTTTTCTTTTCTTTTTGTTTTGCATTTTTCATTCCCGTGGTTTGTCTTTCTCATTTGCATTTCTCTCTCTCTCTTTTTTTTATTCTTTGCTAATGTCTTTTGGCAGCTTTCTTTGAACTGGCTTTACTTTTAATTTTTGTTTAACCTGTGAACCTATCCGTTACAGCACAGCATCGAGGTTAAGAACAATGTGTTATGAGTTTCTTTGCTTTCCTCTCTATATAATGGGATTTGTAATACTAACTCTGTAGAGTAGTTTTGGAGGATTGAGGGATATAATCCATGTAAAATGCTTAGAATAATGCCAAGTATGTAGTAAGGGGGAGCTGCTAGGTATATTTTTTTATATTAATGTTTTTCATACCCACTGTTTCTAATTGGTTATTCTTTGTAACGTCTTGTCCTTGCTTCATGTTACCATTAGATCTGTTCTGCTTTTTCGAGTTTGGACAGGGAGTCCAGCTGTCATTGTCGGGTCCGGTTTCATGGCCGGCAGTTTATCGTTTTCCTTTATAGCGTGGTACCAGTCTCCTCGCCTAGCAGGCTGGCTTCTAGAGCCTAGAACAACTTAATGTCTTCAGGAAGCCACCCAATCACATATATGTAAGGCCAGTCCATCTTTTTTCTCATATTAGAAAATTAGGTAATGGAATAAAGACCTTTATTATAAGAAAATATTGATAGGTAAAGCGATCCATATTATTACACTTTTTAAAATTTTAATCCTCACCCGAGGACTTTTTTCCATTTATCTTCAGATAGAGTTGGGGGGGGGCATCTATGTGAGAGAGACTCATCGACTGGTTGCCTCCCACATGACCTCACTTGGGGCCAGGGACCGAACTGCAACTGAGGTATGAGGGTTGGTCCACGGGCCGACCCTCTAACTGCTAGGCCGAACCAGCCAGGGCCATATTACTACTTTTTTTTTTAAATCCTCATCCAAGGATATTTTTCTGTTTATCTTCAGATAGAGAGAGAGGGAGAGAGAGAAGCATCCACGTGAAAGGGACACATCGACTGGTTGCCTCCCACGTGACCCCCGAGGGCCAGGACAAACCGCAGCAGAGGTACGTGCCCTTGGCTGGAATCAAACCCACAACTCATTGGTCTGCAGGCCGACGCTCTAACCGCTGAGCCAAACCAGCCAGGGCCGTATTATTACCCTTTTGATCAACATTATAGTAAAGCTCTTCTGTGGTACCAAAGCATTCATACTTGTCAGCAAGTTATGTTCCTGTTGATCAATTCAGATCCCCTTGGCATCTTTCTACTTGTCTTGTACAAAGAGACTTATCTAAGTTGTTCATCTTCTTAAAGCCAATTTGTATTTAACTGAGACATTCTGTGAGGATTTTAGTATGTGTTGTATAGTAGAATATAGCATAATTAGGAATTGTGGTCAAATGTATAGAACAAATATATAATACTAAGCAAATTTTGTTTGTCATAAGATAAATCTTATCAGATGAATGAGAATTTCTGGAAGAAAATCTTTAAAATGTCATCTCTTGTACTTATCCTTGTTCTAATGTTTCCTGTTTCTGTGTTTATTGAAGATGCACAGTAATCAGAAGGGCTTACTCCCAGAGCCAAATCCTGTACAAATTATGAAGAGTTTAAACAACCCTGCCATGTTGCAAGTTCTTCTACAGCCCCAGCTCTGCGGGCGAGCTGTTAAACCAGGTGGGCACCTGTGCGCTGGGCACACCTAGAATGAGGGCACGAAGTTAATTATACTGTTTTACATGGAAAAAAAAAACACTTTTAAATTAGTCCAGAATTACTAATTCTCTAGGACTTCTTGAACTTTAATGAATGATCTAGGATGATTATATATTTTGGCTCTCTTTGGTGGATGCAATCTGCTTATGTGTTCCTAATATTTTTTTTAACCATTAATAAATGTTAAATAGTAAACCTTCAGTTTAGTTCCCAGTTGACATGAATGTATAGACCCGATAATAATTAATATACTATATTGTTATGAACTATATCAACAAAGGCTTATGACACTCTTCTATGTAACATTTTTAGCAGAATTACTTTATAGATAAGTGCTAAAGATCTGTTTCCTCTTTGCTCTTGTTTTTTTGTAAAATTATTTCATTTTGTAGAAAATGACAAAATCCATTATTTTCTAAGCATTATGGAAATCTTAAATCACTATGGCATACATTAACTACTTATTTAGCATTCTTTCTCTGATAAGAGCTTTCTTACCTTCTGAATTGAATAACTGTACATACACAAAATGTGTATTTTAGGATTAAGAGGAAATGAATTCCTATATTCAACACTAAGTTTTAGAGTAAAATTATTTAGAGTAAATATGTTTATTTAGTTTCAACCCTAACTGGTCTGACACCAGCCAGCAGACTGCAATTCATTTCTAGTACTAACTACCCAGAGTCAGCCTAGGCCCCACGAGTTCAGGGCTTGGTCCCCACACATCTGCTCCTACTTCACACACCAGCCACAAATTCAGGGGGTCCTCAGGCCTCCGCACTTCTGACCAGCTGGCTACAAACTTGAGCGTTCCTATGACCGCCCCCAGGTTTGATAACTTGCTAGCACAACTCAGAGAACTTGGGAAAGCACTATACTTATGATTACAGTTTTATTATCCAGGACACAGCTCAGGAACAGCTCAGTGAAGAGAGACCGAGCGCCAGGTCTGGGAAGGTCTTGAACACAAAGCTGTTATGGAATCAGGGCACATTGCTGTACCAGCACGTCAGTCTGTTCACCAGCCAGGGACCCCTACTGAACTGAATTCAGGATGTAGGGTTTTTACTGGGGTTTCATTTTGTAGGCGTGCTATCTGACCATGTTGCTGAGCTCAGTCTTCAGTCCGCCTCCTGTCTCTGGAGCTCAGGAGGTCTGCTGATACCTCACGGCCTAAAGACCCAGTCCTCGAGTCACACGGCTGGCTTTCTGCTATGACCAGTCCCCATCCTGAAGCTATTTAGGGGCCCATCCAGAGTCACCTCATTAGTATAACACAGATACTCTTGTCACTGGAGACATTCCAAAGGGTTGGAGTTTTCTTCCAGGAAACAGGCACAAGGACCAGTTAATTCTTCATTATACAACAGTATTCATGTTACGTACTTCATATTCACATCAATTATTTGTGTGTAAGAAGCAGCTTTAGCGGTTTTCTGGCTCAGTCTATTATGCAGTCCGATATCTCTTCTACAGTTTTAATGGTGTAGAGATATCCTTGTTATGTCTTGGCTAATTGGGGTATAAGAAGCTCATTATTTCCCAAAGCAGCCTATTCCCTTGTTTGACAAATTTAATTACTAGATGGTTTTTCTTTATAGTAGATGGTAATTCCAATAACCTTTAGCCATTATTCTAGTCCTTCCTCTGAAGAAACACAGAATAAATCTATTCTTTCTTCCATAAGAAAAACCTTCTAATATTTGAAGACAACTAACATGGACTCTTAGTCATCTTTGTTTTTTTTCTGTCTTCTATTCTCCAGACCAATGATCTCCTTTTATTTATTTATTTATTTTGACTATGGAACTCAGTCAGTGAAATAAAATTTGAGCAGAGCCACCATACATACAGGATATGTACCACTTATATGTCAATTATATAAATGCACTCTTGTCGACCCATATGGGAAGAAGTCTTAAAGCTTAATACTGTTATTTTTTTTATAAGGTGAATGTAAATGTAAATAACAGTTCTAATATTTTCTTTTTACACCTCTTACACTTCTTCTAAGACTACAGTTCTTTTTTTTATTTTTTATCCTCACCGGAGGACATTTTTCCATACTTTGTTTAGATAGAGCAAGAGGAAGAGAGAGAGAGAAACATCGACGTGAAAGGGACACATCGAGTGGCTGCCACCCGCATGACCCAACCAGGGCGGGGGACCAACTGCAACCAAGGTACATGCCCTTAGCGGGAACCGAACCCGGGTCTCTCTGGACCACAGGTTGACGCTCTAACTGCTGAGCCAAACCGGCCCGGGCAAGAGACTACAGTTCTATATTTGACTTCCCATAACATGTCAGGATGTACTCTCGATCCCTCCGCAAGTCGTCCTCTTGTAGACAAAGCCCAGGTTTTCTGGGTTGTCCTGAAATGTCGTGCACACAGAATGGGCACATCCTGCAGATGGGACCTCATCAGCACAGAGTGCAGTGAATTTCCTTCCTGTGCTCATTGTATCTCTATCAGTGCATTCCAAGATTACATTCACGTTTAAAGAAGTACATCACACTCGTGGGTATTTTAGAAAATATTATCCACATCTTGGGACTCTGAGCTATCTTTAGTAACTCCTCTCCCATATTATTTTTGTCTTTTCTTTTTATCGAAGAATATATATTCTCTACTCTTCTTTCTTCTCAGATGGATGTATGGACTTGGGAGATTACACTTTTTAATTTTAGTTCTTTCACAATTATAAGTAAGACATTTTAATATTACACTGGTGGAGAAATTATTTCACAAAGCACAGTGAAATAATTCTTCGTGTGGAGTGGCAAGAAAGAGGATTAACTCTACCTCACTTAACACGTGCCAGACTTCTGGAGAATATATGAAAAGTTTCTTGGTATTGAGGAAAGACAAAGTGTTTTGTGTCAACATAAGAAACATTTAAACCTGTAGGGAATATTTATGAGTTTATTTGAGCTTTACTGATGATAATTGCCAGGAAGCAAAATCTCAATGGACTGAAACAAACAAACAAACAAACAAAAAATGCCCTGGAGAATGGTAGTCGTGCACCTTATTTTATATATTACAATCGAAGTGATACCGTTGTAGTTAGGTAGTTATTAATCATGGGAAAGGAATAAAGAGAAGGCCAGGCATGATGAGCATAGCCATTCAGGCAGCTTCACCAGGGAGCTGCAGTTTCATACTCCCCACGGAGCCACAGGCCCATTCCCTGTGGATTACTGGAGGAGGGACTGGGCAAAGGGGAGGATGGGCATATGCACAGTGAAGTCGGGATGACGTGGGAAAGGCGCTTTCTGTCAGTCAAGCCTGGGGAACCATGGATTAGCTGGAGGAGGCGGGGCCACTGCAAGCCCACGAAAATTTGGGAATACATAATCCCCTAAACAAAGGAGCCCTCTCTCGGCTTTTGCCTTGCTCTTGTGACTCTTGGCTCACGGGGCTTTCTTGTTCCTGCTCCTTGCATTCGGATGTTTCCTTTATAGCCGTGTGGCCCTGCAGATCCCCCACACAATGGACTGATGGACTGTGTCAGGGAACACAAGCTAAGTAGCCTGATGCTAGACTGGACTCTGCTCCAGCATGGAAAGAAAACACTGGACAATGGCTCTGATTCCAGCTCTGTTAAAGCCACAACTACACTTTCTCCTTGGCAGGACAAAGGGAAATGGGACCTTAGAAACTCAGGGGTTTGAGTCCACAGAAATAAGGCTTTCTACAATATCTCATCCCCCCATGGGGGCCTCCAGAAATTATTGTTCCAGTGGTACCCCAAGAACCCACTTCCACTGATAACAAAAGGAGGAGGCATAAGGGGGTTACATGAAATCCAATGGTGATGGATTAGGGAGGCGGGAGAAAGCCAAGTGTGTGTTGGGTGGGGGGGGGGCAGGGATTCGATAAAAAGTGAAAGGACAATAAACAAGTAAATGTGTGTCAGTTATTTGCAAAATGAAACACTGTGAAGGAAGTAGGGCAAGGGTATAGGTATATATATATATTATATACATTATATATAATATAAACAATTATTTTATATTTTTTGACACTATTGCAAATAAGATTGCTTCAAATTTCTATTGTTGCTAGCATGTGCAAGTTCAATTGATTTTGTATATTTGTCTTATATTGCAACTTTGCTTATTATTTCTAATATGATTTTGTCATTAGCATTTTCTCTGTAGGCAATCATGTCATTTACAAATTAACACAATTTTACTTCTTCCTTTTCAATATGTATACCTTTTATTTTTTTCTTGCTTTAATTCAATAGATAGAAATTTCAGCATAATTTGTGCACTGGTGAGAGTGGACATTCTTGTCTTCTTCCCCATCTTACAAAAAAGGCATTCATTTTTTTATTGTTGTTAGATATTATGTAAGGTATAGTTTTTTTCCTACAGATTTTTCTTTTTGAAGTTGAAAACTCCCTTCTATTCTTCTATTGCTGAGAAATTATATCATGATAATTGCTGGAATTTATCCATTGCTTTTCTACATTCATGGAAAAAAATCGTATGTCTGGGTTTTTTCGGTTTTTGTTTGTCTGTTGACATAATGAATTACATTGATCGATTTTTAAAAAATATTAAACCAACCTTTCATTCTTAGGGTAAACCTTACTTTGTCACGTTGTATTGTACTCCTTTGTGTATATTGTTGGTGAGAGAAGGCGGGCTGCTCCCTGCTGTCTCAGCCCATTAGGCTCAACGCTGTCCAAGTCCTTTTGCTTTCTTCTTATTAATACTTAGCTAACTATGGAGCAGTAGTGCTTGTCAGGTCTTTTATATCCTTACTAATTTTCTGTCAATTTATTCGATTACTCATGTGAGGGAAGAATGGAGCTCAGTGGGAGGCCTCGCCCAGAGCTACGGGCAAGAGCAGCTGGACACGAGACTGCGGACATTTTCAGTGTTTTGATTCTAGTTGTTCTAAACTGAGAAATACTGTATTCCCTAAAAGCTATGAAATATATTTTAATGTTTTATAACAATATTCCGTGACTCTCTGGAAAAAAAAAAAAACACAGAGGGAATAGTTTTGAAATTTCTAGCCATAATTTTACTATTGTCTACTTTTTTTTTTCAGTTCTAGAAATTTTGCTTGATATATTTTGAACCCTTATTATTTGTTGTAGAGACATTTAAGCTTGTTGCATCCTCTTGATGAACTGATTCTTTTATCATTATGAGATGACCATGTTTATCCCTGTTCCCTAATAAAGTGTCTTTCTTTAAGCAACTCATCCTAATGATCTGATCTTCCCACCACCTGTATTGAAACTGGCTCATGCTAAGGAAAACAATTTCTAGTTGTCAGTTTTCCAGAGATGTAATGGATTTGCCTCAGCTAGTGATACAAACTTTAAGCGGAGTTTTTAAGGCATGGCATGAACTTGTAGGGATGTTATATATACTTTTCAAATATTTTTTTATCATTGGTTTATATGCTTTTTGAAGTGCTTTCTACGCCTGACCTCCACTGGTTCTAATTGTTTTATTGCTAGAGAAATGTGTATATTATGACGATTCCCAGTTACTTTATAATAATAATAGGACATCGCTTCATATATTTTTCTCGTGGTTCTGTATGTGGTCCATTCTGAAAAACATCTCCTGATATGTACTCTGGTATTTGTGCTCTTAGACAACTTGCTAAAGAGTATGGTTACCATTTATTCCTTTTGTCAACGGTGCCCATACTGTTGTTTCTTTGGTTTTTATTATGTAAACACTTTTTATGTATATATATTCTCTTCTAAATTGGATTGCAAGCTTTTCAAGGACAGGATTGTATTAAGTCCCTGCCTTCCACCCCCACCACCACTTCCTGCCAGAATGCCACCGATACCTAACCAAAACACTGCGCAAGTAACATGCGTTCAGCTGGTATTATACTTATTAAAAGATACAGTTAGTTTTGTTGCACTAAGCACTAGAGAAAGGCCAGACTTGGTGTTTTACCATTTTCATGGAAGGTGTGGGAATTTGAATCATGTGGGAAGAATCCTGTCACTTTTTGTGCAATGGCAAGGTCAGTATATAAGTGAACGTCCAGTTAATTTGTTAAAAGTTTAAAAGAATATTCATTTATTTTTTATTTGAAGTTTGTTTTATTTATTTTTAAATTCCATATATATCATAAAGTTAAATTTTTACTTTTATTTTCTTAAAGCAGTTCTTGGAACACCTCACAGCTTGCCACATCTGATGAATCCATCCATCTCCCCTGCATTTTTACATTTGAATAAAGCACATCAGGTATATAAATAGCATTGAATATTAAAGCATCAAAAATTTGGAGTGAATATTTTGTTTGTTCTTAACAAGTAAAATGCTCAAGAAGTTAAAGCAGTGTTCTTTTTAAATCCTTAGTCATAAATATAGCTACATAAAAACAATGAGTAGATCAAATCAAATTAAGCTAATCAAAGCAACAGTTATATATGTATTTATTAATTCCTATTTGTAGGGCATTAAGAAGGGAAGAGGTATATTTTTCTTTTTTTAAAAAAAATATGTTTTTGTTAATTTTTTTTAGAGAGAGGAAGGGAGAGAGAGAGAAACATTGATGTGAGAAAGACATCAATCTGCTGCCTCCTGCACACCCCCTACTGGGGGTGTGGTATATTTTTCTATAACTACATCAGTACAGTCATGAATCGTTGGGTGATTTAGTCATGTGTGAACTCAAAGAGTGCATTTACACAAACCTAGATGCTATAGCCTACTGCAATACCTAGGTATATGGTATAGCCTATTACTCCTACGCTACAAACCTGTACAGCATGCTACTATGCTGAATATTGTAGATGCCCCACAATGGTAAGTACTTGTGTATGTAAACATAGGAAATGTGCAGTAAAAATACAGTATAAAAGATAAAAAATGGTACACCTGCCCGGGTCAGTTTGGCTCAGCGGTTAGAGCATTGGCCCTTGGATCAAAGTGTCCTGGGTTCAATTCCTGGTCAAGTGCACGTACCTCAATTTTAGGATCCCTGGCCCCGTCGGGGTCATGTACGGTTGCCAACATCACTGTCTCACCTGAACATCTGACCCAGTGGAAGATTTTCAGGGGTGATAATAGGCACAGAGCTGTTATTTCCTGCCACCGTCATATTATTGGTTCATCAATAACCAGAATATTGTTATGTGGTTCATGACTGCAGATCAAAATAAGTCCTCTCATGTGGTCTTCACTCAAAAAAGTATTTACAGAAAGAAAAAAACAAAATGAGTGAACAAGAACTCTTATTCTTAAAATGTAATTGATGTTATAAAAATAATTCATATATTGATGAGAGTAAAAATATACTTTATGTTTTCAGATAAGTATTTTTAAATGTGTTTGTGTATATAAATATTAGAGGTGAACATTAATTTCAGGTAGTGTTAAGGCTGTATCTATGTAGAAGACTAATTACAAATCGAACCTAACACGTAATAGGTGAATGTAGATCAGATGGATGAATGTCTGGTCCTAACCCTAGCTTTTTATGAGAAAGGCCTATCTTTTATTTATTTTCATTCTTAGAATCTAGCATAGGACTTTGTACATTATAGGGTCTTTATTCATTGATTTACTCAACATATTTTATTGAGAATCTAATATGTGCTAGACACTCTGCTAATCATTGAGGCTACAACACTGAACAAACAAACATTAAGTAGTTAATGACATTAAGGTGTGAAGAGTGATATAAGGGATGTTCCGAGTGTTGACAATATTCTCTTTATTTTAGAATAGAGATCAAAATGCTTAATTTTGCCTTTAAGGTCTGTCCGAACTGAGCTCACCTGCCTCCCATGCTCATTGGGCATCACTGTCTCAGCTACAGTGTCCTGCTTTTGGTCCTCAAAAGACCTCGTTCCCTTCTTCTTTGGTCTTTGCTCCTGCTGTTCCTCCTGCCTGGAAGTGTCCCCACTCCAGTACCATCTAATTTCCCCAGATTCCACTAGTCATTTCTCCACGGCCTTCCGATCTCTGCGCGATAGTTAGTTCCTCAGAAAACTCTCTTTGAATTTACCATCTTAGTCAATTCCCCCACTATTTGTTCTCATAGCTCCCTGTTTTTTCCCTTCATGTGCTCATTACTGTTTGTAATTATATGTTTTTACAACTAGTCAATGCCTTCTTTCTCCAGGGTACTATAACACCCTTGAGGGCAGATACTATTGTATTTCCCACTATGTACCACAGTGACTAGCATATAGAAAGTGCTCAATAGATCTTTGTTAGATGATTAAATGAATAAATAAATGATTGAATGATGCTGACATTAAAGCCAGAAAGGGATACGGGGAGGGGAGGAAGGATGAAAGAAAAGGAGAGGATATGGAATTCATTTCATGGCTGTATGGGCACATCTTGTATATTATTACAGGAGTTAATTAGTGTTGCCTGAATATGAAAAGTGAGATGCCAAGAAGCTGTTGCTTTTGCTCAGATCAACTAGAGAATTAGACTACATGAATTGGGTTATACAACAAGCAGCTTTTCAAAATTAAACTAACTTAATGTTTTACATTTTTCACAGAGCTCAATTATGGGTAATACTTCTAATTTATTCCTTCAGAATCTTTCCCACGTTCCACTGGCACAGCAACAGTTAATGAAGTTTGAGAATATTCATATTAATAATGTAAGTATTGGACTTATTTTTTCTTTTGGATGAGTTTATTATTATTATTATTTCTATATTCAGGCTATTGGTCAGATTCAATTTTCACTTGTGTAGCCTTTTAATTCGGGTATATCCTGTTGCCGCTGGCAGAAACCTAACCTTCCTCTGTCCTTTCGCAGAAACCAGGCTTACTGGGAGAGCCCCCGGCCATGGTGCTGCAGCCTGCGGGAGGCATAGGCTCCGCGCTTCCCTTGAAAACAGAGTTGGGTCATCATGGAGAAGCACATAAAAGTAAATGATGGGTGTTTACCGAGAAGTCAGTCAACAGTCAGATTTGAGATTTCAAGATAGTTTACTTTGTACAGGAAGGCCAACTTTGAGTTTTATGCAGTCATTTAAAAATTCCAGAGCCCTTTTGGCTTTCTGTTTTTAATCTTAGAAAACGACTGGTAGTTACTGATAGACCTGCTTCCATGCCAGGATGAGGCTTTTCCTGTTGGATAAGCTCTAATATGTGATGACGGTTCACAGCAGCGTGAGGCAAAGACGCGGGTCCGCTGACACTGACACGCTGCCCCCCCCCCCCCCCCCCCCCCCGGGCTGGCGCCACGCTGCGTGGGCATCCCTGTAATTTTGCCCGGACAAGAAACCCTTGACTTTTATAAAGAAATAGCTGGTGTTTGCAAATTTAAAGTTTATATATTTGTATCATTTTTTAAAAAAACGTGATCTCCAAATTAGTGTTAGAAGAAAAATAATGTGTGTTCAGTTTTTATGAAAAGAAAAATAGGAGCATGGTGGTTACCATGGTTTTTCAGTTTGAAGGTTAATTGAAATTTGTTTGAGGTGAGCATGCTGAGGGAAAAAAGGGCCCCCATTGTGAAACTTAAAAAATATATATGGGTAACATATATATCTTGTACATAAAGCCAAAAAGTCAGGTGATTAAATAACAGTTGTGACCACTAGTATTGATGGGGCAAAAGTTAAATTACCTAGACCGGTGTAAGACATTTTTGTGGTATATTGGGGTCTGTCCCAAGAATTAAATTTTGTATGCCTATAAGATTATGCAAATGTTTATTGTTTGTATTGGATTAAACAATAAGCCATTTTCTTTAGCATGTGCTGCATTAAGAACACTGAACATTCAGTGTTCAAATATATCACTAAGAGATAAATCTAAAATATTCATCTATAAGTATATAATAGTAAAAATAATTTAAGAAGTTTGCTGTGGATTTGTAAGAGATAAATTTGACTTAAAGTAGGTATCAAAATTAGCTCTTTTCATTTAATTTTGACCTATAGATGTTTACAAAGTGGAATGGTTCAAAATTTGCCAATTAAAACTCATTTTCCCCCAGAATTTGTTATGTCCTATAAATAAAAATGTAAAACTTTTACGTGTTAAATTTGATGCTTACCTATTCACAAATATTGATGTTTTTTTAAATAGTGGTGAGCTGATGTTTAAAAACCAGCTCGTTAGGTTAAAAAAAGTCTCGATTTGTAGGGTTTGTGGGTTTCTGTGTGTAAACACAGAATCGAACCATTGTTGATTCGGGCTGCCAGCCGATGTGAAGACATTGACCTGGAGAGCTGGGAAGAGAGGAGCTGGTGCAAGTCGCTGACCAAATTTATTGTTGGAGTTCATCTAATTTTATCAACTTTTAAGTGTCAGAGAATTTTTTTAAACTGAAGACAAATTATTTCTTCAGATATGGAAGCAGGCAAATTACCATGATTGTGCATTTTTAAAAAGGCAGTGATATCACCTAAATGCCAAGAAGTACATAAGTTTTGCACTCAACTTTTAAAATACACAATTATAACATAGAATGAACAAAATATAGTATTCTTGAGACTACTCCGGAAGTTGTTTAAGAAAAGCCTGCTAATTTACAAATTCTAACATCACCTTTTGAATTTAACTGTTCTCTAGTAGGTTAAAAAATGTTTATTTGCATGTCGCTGATAACTTAAAATCAAAAGGACTATTGTAAATAAGTCTTGTCTAACCAAAAGTTTTTTGCATTTGTTGTTCACTACAGCATCTAATCTGATTCCAACTCAAACAACAATAGCAGCTGGAATGGGCATATTACCATTCTTTCCAAATCAGCACATTGCTGGACAAGCTGGGCCAGGGCATGGGAACACTCAGGAGAAACAGCCGGCCTCCGTGGGCATAGCAGAAGGAAATCTCTCAGGGTCACAGGCTTATCTTCAGAGCTTTCCAAACCTTACTGCTGGAGGTTTGCTGACAGGACACCATAAGCAACAACAGAGTCAGCCAAAAGGCACGGAGATGAGTTCAGGGGTAAGAAAACCAAACTCTGTGTGTCTATTTTTATGCCAGTGCCACACCATTGAGATTACTGTAGCTTTGTAGTAAGTTTTGAAATAAAAAAGTGTGAGCTCTCCATTCTTGTTTCTTTTTCACTTTTTCAAGATTGTTTCAACTTTTGGGGGATCCCTTGATATTCCATATGAATCTTAGGAGGTGTTTTTCTTTTTTCTGCAAAAATGTTGGAATATTTATAGGAATTTTTGAATCTGTAGATTATTTTGGGTAGTATTGATATTTTAATAGCATTAAGTCTTCCAATCCATGAACATGGGATGTCTTTTCATTTAATTGTCTTCTTTAATTTCTTTCAACAATACTTTGTAGTTTTCAATATGCAAGTATTTCTCCTTGGTTCAGTTAATTCCTGAGTATTTTATTTTACTGGAATTGTTTCCTTGGGATTCTTTTTGTGTTGTTCTTTGTTAGTATATAGAACCATAACTGGTTTTTGCATGTTGATTTTTGTATCCTGAAATTCATTTATTAGTTTGTGTTTGTATTTATGTAATCTTTTTTATGTCATCTGCAAATAGAGATAATTTTACATTTTCATTTCTAATTTGGATGCCTTTTATATATTTTTCCTGTCTAATTGCTTCGGCTAGAACTTCTAATGCTGTGTTGAGCAGAAGTGGTGGAAGGCATCATCTTCTTATTCTTGATCTTGAGTATACTATTGATTTTTTCATATATGACTTTTTTGTGTTATGGTAGTTTTCATCTAGTCCTAGTTTGTTGAGGGTGTTGAATTTTGTCAAGTACTTTTTCTGCATCAATTGAGATGGTCATGTGTTTTTTTCTTCCTTCATTCTGTTAATGTGACGTATTCACATTGAATAATTCACACTGAATTACTTTTGTGTGTTGAGTCAGTCATCTTTGCATTCTAAAATGAAATCCCAAATTGTTATGGTGTATAATCCTATCCTGCCAGATTTGCTTTGCTAGTGTTTTGCTGATGGTTTTGCACCAGTAGTGATAAAGGATATTGGTCTGTAGTTTTCTTGTTGTACCTGTCTGACTTTAGTATTAGGGCAATGCTGGTCTCATAGAATGAGTTAGGAAATATTCCCTCTTTTTCAATTTTATGGGAGAGTTTGAGGAGGATTGGTGTTAATTATTCTTTAAATATTTGGTAGAATTCTCTAGTGAAGCCATTTGGTCCAGGGCATTATGCTGGACAATATAATATAAATGTTAAGAAAGAAAAGGTTTGCCCTGGCTGGTTTGGCTCAGCAGTCAGAGGATCGGCCTGTGGTCCCGAGAGACCTGGGTTCGGTTCCTGCTAAGGGCGCGTACCTTAGTTGCAGTTTGTCCCCGGCCCTGGTTGGTTGTGCGGGTGGCAGCCACTCAGTGTGTCCCTTTCACATCGATGTTTCTCTCTCTCTTCCTTTCCCTCCCACTCTACCTGAACAAAAAATGGAAAAATGTCCTTGGGTGAGGACAAGAAAGAGAGAGAGAGAGAGAGAGAGAAAGAGAGAGAGAGAGAGAGAGAGAGAAAAGGAAGGAAGGAAGGAAGGAAGGAAGGAAGGAAGGAAGGAAGGAAGGAAGGAAGGAAGGAAGGAAGGAAGGAAAGGAAAGGAAAGGAAAGGAAAGGAAAGGAAAGGTAGGAAGGAAGGAAGGAAGGAAGGAAAGGTAAGGTTTTCCCTGGCCACTTTGGATCCGTGGTTAGAGCATTGGCCCACAGACTGAAGAGTCTCAGGTTTGATTCCAGTCAAGGGCACATACATCGGTTGTGGTTCGGCCCCCGGGCCCGGGTCGTACAGGAGGCAACCAATCAATGTGTCTTCTCTCCCTCCTTTTCCTTCCCTCTCTCCCTCCCACTCTAGTTGAAGATAAATGGAAAAATATCCTTGGGTGAGTATTTAAAAAGGAAAGAAAGAAAGAAAAGGTTTTAGGCCTGGCTCCAACACTTACTAAATGTACTTTAAAAACAAATTTTGATAACTTTGTTTCTGGAAATAAGGTATGGAATTTGTTTTTTCTTGCGAAGATGAAGTCTCTCCTGGTTCAAATGAGAAGGTTGTACATGATGACCTCTAATTCTCCTTCAGTTCTAAAGTTCTGTGGGTCTAGAACTTTAGAACTGAAAGATATGTTTTTTTGAAAAAAACAATAGCAAGTGAAATGTGATCATGTTAATCAATATCCAGAAATATTTCATAACTTTGTATCTTCAAACATCAGTTTCCACAAGTTTTTACCACACTAGATTTATTGAAGGATAAGTGTTTCTTTACTCTTTCTGCATTTTAATTTTTTTGTACCTCTTATTAAGCACCTGCTCTTTTGTTTTTGGTAAATAGGCTGCCTCTAAGAATCAGACTTCACTCTTGGGAGAGCCACCAAAAGAAATTCGGCTCAGTAAAAATCCATACTTGAACTTGGCAAGTGTGTTGCCCAGTGTGTGCTTATCATGTAAGTGAGAGCTCAGTATTAATATGTTGGAGTTTTATTGAATACTTTCCATAATGAGTTTTACTTCAATTGGTAACTTAAAGCAAATCATGCCTATTGATCAATTAAAGCCTAAATTATGACCCCAGTCTTTAAGATGAAAGAACAACTAAAATTAACACTTAAAATGCATTCTGGCTCAGTTGGTGTAGTTCAGTGTTTGAGCATGGTCTCATGCCCCAAGAGGTCACCGGTTCGATTCTCAGTCAGGACACATGCCCAGGTTGTGGGCCAAATCCCCAGTGGGGGGTGCATGCAGGAGGCAGCCAATCTATGTTCTCTCTCATCGATGTTTCTCTCTCTCTCTCTCCCTCTTCCTCTCTCTCTAAAACAGTGGTTTTCAACCTTCCTAATGCTGCATCCCTTTAATACAGTTCCTCATGTTGTGGTGACCCCCAACCATAAAATTATTTTTGTTGCTACTTTATAACTGTAATTTTGCTACTGTTATGTTAGGCAACCCCTGTGAAAGGGTCATGACCCACAGTTTGAGAACCACTGCTCTAAAATCAATAAAGAAAAAAATTTAAAAGCTATACATTCTCACATGTACATATTTGAATGTGTAAATGCATAAAGTAAACCTGGGAAAATAAATTCTAAACTGTCACCTCTGGGAAAAAGAATAGGATTTAATGAAAAGAGATGAAAGATTAATTTTGTTTTTAATGTGAATTCTGTTTATTTTATGAAGTATCCTCTTGCATCTAAACATTAATTTCTAATTTTTTAAAAGCTGAAAAAAATTTTAATATGCTTTTAGTATACTTACTATGTTTTTATCTGGTCCAGAAATCGCTAGTTACAGCAATTACATTAACAAGAACGGTTCATTCATATTTTGTATGCCTTGGTTTGGAGATTAGACATACGTTTTTTAAATGTTTCCACCAAAATTATTTATCCATAGGGCAAACTTTCATTTTCAGTTGTTTTAAACGAATAAGATAATATCATATACTATATATATTTCCCCCATGAATAATATATATATGCAAACTACATTTTGCATTTTATTTGAAAATATGTTGAATTAATGAGTTGTACTCTGTATATAATTTATAATAAAGCAATGTAACTAAAGTATATGATTGATTTTTGCCTTTAGCCCCTGCAAGTAAAACCACTCTCCAGAAGACTGGAATTGCAAGCAGCATTCTGGATGCGATGTCTCAGGGAAATGAATCTCAGCACACATTAGAAAAGTGCATTGCTTATTCGCAGCCTTTCGGTGATTATGCACAGGTAAATGAGTCTCAGGTTTTGATGATATATGGAAAAATTGGTTCAACTATACATTGAATTCACTGAACATGAAATTGTGATTCCTGTAATTTCATATGAAATTAAAATTGCACACTGATCTACACAGTATTTCTTCCTCACCATTTGGGATTTTAGGACACATTCAAGAGATTGGGAAGTATCATTTTGTACGATTTACCTACACTAGTGGTTGGAAAACTACAGACCACATTCAGCCCACTACTTGTTTAGTAAATAGTTTTATTGGGATACGGCTGGGGTTCATTCATTTACGTCTTGTCTGTGGCGCTGTGGTGCTACAGCAGCAGAGTCGAGTAAGTCCTGGCTCAGAGACTACCTGGCTGCAGGATTCAATATTTACAGTATAGCTCTTTACAGAAAAACTCTGCTGACCTCCAATTTTCACCAGTGTAGACCTGAGTGAGAAACCCAAGAAAATGCCTGTTCTTCACCACTGCTCTTTTATGTGGAAACATGATGCTAGTTACAGGCACTATTCTAACTTTTAAACCAAACAGTCAACAACTTGGAAAGTAGTATATTCATAAGATGTACCGTGCCACTAACCTCCTTATGTCAGTTTTGCTTTGCTCTGTTTCCTTCAGCTTTTTCTCGGTGGCTTAAGCTGAGAGAATATGTCACATGATGATGTAATCCTGAGAGCTGTATGATGCACGATTCCCATTCCTTCTTATTTCCCAGAGTAGTCCGCCTCTCAGCTGTCCTGGCTGGGGGCAGTGCTTCCCTTTGGTTCCTTGGAGCCACTGTGTTGTGTCTCACGTGTCTCTAATACACTTAGAAAAGAAAACCAAGGTGAGTTCGTTTAGGACAGCTGATGCCTGAGTATGCTTTTATGATAGGGAACTAGAAACACAGGTCAGACAGACTGTAGAAATGGTGCAGCTGGATTTTAGCAAAATATATAATAGGGTCTCTTGTATACCTGTGGAAAAGAGGGAGAAATCTGGGTTGGAAAATGATGCAATTAGGTGGCAACATACTTATGTTTAAGGAACAGTAATGTTGAATTGATACAATCTGGAAGGCATTCTCTTATGTTTCATAAAACTACATTTTTGTTCCCTCATTAGTTCAAATTTTAAGTAATGACTTAGACAAGGACATTGTTTATATTTCCAGGTGACAAAAGCCAAGGAAATTATCAGGGATGCATAAAATCTTTTATGAATAGTTTACAGTTGTTAAAATTAGAGACAACTTGAATTTCCAACAATTTATAAGACTGAGTGAACCAATTATGTCATATTTATACCAGGAACTACAGTGCAAATATTAAAAATTATATAATACAGTATATAAACACAGGGTAAAATGGTTTTCTTTCTTTCTTTTTTTTTGGTTAATCCTCACCTGATATTTTTTCTGTTAAATTTCAGAGACAGTGGAAGGGAGTGCGGGGGTGGGGGAGAGAAAGAAACATCGATGTGAGAGACACATTAATTGGTTGCGTTCCACACACACTCCAACCAAGGCTGGGGATCGAACCTACAACCCAGGTTTGAGCCCTTGACCCAGGAATCGAACCTGTGACCCTTTGGTGTGTGAACTGATGCTCTAAACACTAAACCACACTGACCAGGGCCACATGGTAAAATGTTTTATAAACTATTGTTAATTTTTTTTTTTTGCTCAGATAGAGTGGGAGGGAGAGAGGAGGAGGAGAGAGAGAGAGAGAGAGAGAGAAAAAGGAGAGAGAAACATCGACGTGAAAGAGACACATCGACTGGCTGCCACCCGCACGACCAACCAGGGCCAGGGACAAACTGCAACCGAGGTACGGGCCTTTAGCGGGAACTGAACCCAGGTCTCTCTGGACCGCAGGCCAACGCTCTAACCGCTGAGTCAAATCGGCTAGAGCTAAACTATTGTTAATTTTTAAATTTTATAAAATATAGTCCTGTACAATTGTTTTTGTTTCTTTACAAGGAACAAAATTTATTTTTGTTAACAGGGCCGGGGCCGGGGACGGACTGCAACTGACGTATGTGCCCTTGGCTGAAATCAAACCTGTGACTCTTTGGTCCGCAGGCTAACGCTGTAACCACTGATCCAAACTGGCCAGGGCATTATTCTAAAATTTAATGTACGATTTAAGTTTTTTGTTTTTTTTTAATATATTTATTTATTTATTTTTAATCTTTATTGTTGAATGTAGAATGTATTACAGATGTTCCACATTTTTCCCCCATTGACCCCCTCCTCCCCACTCCCGCCCCCCTCTCACCTTTTCCCACACTATTGTCCGTGTCCATTGGTTATGCATATAAGTTCTTTGGTTTATTTCTTCCCACCCCCCCCAACCCCTTTCCCTTTGAGGTTTGTCAGTCTAGCAATGAATTTGTACTTCTTAATCCCTTCACCATTTTCACCCATTCCCCCAACCCCCCTCCCAACTGGCAACCAACAAAATGTTCTCTGTATCTATGAGAATGTTTCTGTTCTACCTGTTCATTTTGTTTGTAGATTCCATTGTCGATACATATGTATTCATTGCCATTTTGTTTGTTCATATTTTTTATCTTTTTCTTCAAAAGACCCTTCATCATTTCATATAATAATGGTTTGGTGGTGATGAACTCCTTTAACTTTTTCTTGTCTGGGAAAGTCTTTATATGGCCATCGATTCTAAATGACAGCTTTGCAGGATAGAGTAATCTTGGTTGTAGGTTCTTGCTTTTCATCACTCTGAATATTTCTTGCCACTCCCTTCTGGCCTGCAAAGTTTCTTTTGAGAAATCAGCTGACAGCCTTATGGGAACTCCCTTGTAGGTAACTAGCTGCCTTTCTCTTGCTGCTTTTAAGATTCTCTGTCTTGAACCTTTTGCATTTTGATGATGATGTGTCTTGGTGTGGGCCTCTTGGGGTTCATCTTGTTTGGGACTCTCTGTGCTTCCTGGACTTGTATATCTGTTTCCTTCACCAAGTTAGGAAAGTTTTCTGCCATTATTGTTTCAAACAGGTTTTCGATTTCTTGTTCTCTCTCTTCTCCTTCCGGCACCCCCAAGATGCGAATGTTGGCACGCTTGAAGTTGTCCCAGAGGCTCCTTACACTGTCCTCATTTTGTTGGGTTCCTTTTTCTTTTTGCTGTTCTGATTGGGCGTTTTTTTTGCTTCCTTATAGTCCAAATCAATGGTTTGCTTCTTGGATTTACGTACTCTACTATTGAATCTTTGTAAATTATTTTTTATTTCAGTTAAAGTCTTTGTTTCTAACTGTGCATCAATCATTTCTGACTGGTCCATTTTTATGATCTTGAGGCCCTCACTGAGTTCATTGAGCATCCTTATAAGCAGTATTTTGAACTCAACATCTGTTAGGTTGCTTATCTCCATTTCACTTAGTTCTTTTCTTGGGGTTTTGTTCTGTTCTTTCATTTGAGACCTGTTTATTTGTCTCCTCATTTTGGCTGCCTCCCTGTGTTTGTTTCTGTGTATTACTTAACAAGCGGTATGGGACTAGCTGAGACCAGATGCTGCTTGTTTGAAAGAATTTAGGAAAACCTGAAGCAGGATCCAAGACAGGCCAATCCTATGGTTAAGCAAGTGGCAACAGCTTGGGTGGGCCTGAAAGTTGGGTGGGGCGGGGCCTCAGGGAGTCAGCAGGGCGGGGCTACCAGTGTGAGCCAGGTTGCTGGAGTCCCAGGTATGGGGACTGTCTGCTGCCCCGGGGAAGGGCTCACCAAAGGAACAAAGGCCTCTGACAGCACGTTTGTCCCGGAGAAAGCCCCCTCTCCAGCCCTCGCTCCAGTGCCAAACAGCTCAGTTCTTCCCTGTATGTCCCTGGTGCCCCTCGAGCTGCCTCCCCTCTGAGCTTAGAGGGAGAGAGTCCGATAAGTCCGTGCGCGGGCCCTTTAAGGAGCTGCCTGGGGCTCCAGCCGCTTCAGCCTCCCTGAGCCTCAGTTCCCGCTGGTTTTTCCAGCCAGAAGTTATGGGGATTCTCTTCCTGGCACTGGAACCCTGAGCGTGGCACCTGGTGTGGGACGGGGACCCCTCAGTCCTCAGGAAGGACCTTCCCAGCCGAGGTGTCCTCCTGATTTTTATCCGCCACATGTGGGTGTGGGACCAGCCCGTCTGCCTCCGCCCCTCCTACCAGTCTCGATGCAGCTTCTTTAATTCCGTAGTTGTAGGACTTCCATTCAGCTTGATTTCAGGCAGTTTTGAATGATGGTTGTTCTGTAGTTTAGTTGTAACTTGGATGTGGTTGTGGGAGGACGCGATACCGCCTTTACCTACACCGCCATCTTGACCGGAAGTCCGATTTAACTTTTAAAAGTTATTTTTTTGTACCTTTTATTTCACTTTTGAAATTGCTCTCTTACCTTCCGTTTTATTAGATTACTGTGGCTTTCGAATACACCATATTCACAGAAAGACACTTTGCCGTTTACACGTGGAGAAATTTGTGATAAAGATGCCTCTGCGTTGCCAGCCTTCTCCCTGCCTCTGACTTGCTTGCGCAGAGCCTCTGGGGAGGGTCCCCCCGGGCTCAGAGTTCCCTCGGGCAGTCCTTCCTCTTCTTGTTCATAAACTGAGATTTGTTCTTTCTCCCTTGTGTTCTTTCATACTCATAAAGTGAAGTTAGTTAAATGTTAGTTATGGATTAAAGTAACTAGTAAAAGGTGGCCATGCTTTAGGAATTCCTTCTATTTCCATTGCTGTAATGCAGGAAGAGCTCTAAGGGAAAGAAACCAACAATTTTGTTTTGTTTTTCAACTTGCTACATGCTTTGCAATGAAAGCATTAAGTCTTTCTAATAATCCTGAGAAGTTTAAATGACCGCCTGCCTCCGCAATACAAGGGATATATCACCTTTCCCAGTTCGTGCAGTTAGTAAGTGATTTCTCTGATTCCAAAGTCCACATTATTTTCAGTATACCATGGAAAAGTTTCTTCAGACATGGAAGTAGTGTTCCATAGCACATGTTCGGTTGGTTAGTTGATTGTTTTGTACTGGCATC